ATAGAGTTACTTCCGTATTCAAGCCTGGCGGGACGGTAAATATACCTATATATAACTATACGCCAATTTCAGTTTTAACCACATTTTCTAAATTCTTGATCAAATCATTTATAATCGTACAATCAAATTTATAAACGATTGTAAGATTTTATCTGACAGTCAGTTTGGTTTTCACGAAAATCATTCAACATCTCATGCCATTATCCTCTTAATTGATAAAATTCCAACTAATCTTGTTTTGTCGAAATATTCCCCTGAAATATTTTTAGACCTCTCCAAGGCCTTTGATACCATTAATCACGACATTCTTTTGTCTAAATTGGCCTTTCTCCTTTAGAATGGTCCAAGAGTCACCTCTCAAATCGCCCGCAGTTTGTATTTTCGGAAGGCTGTCGGTCCTCTCTTGCAAAGGTAGCTCATGGTGTCCCATAAGGATCCATACTTGGACCTCTTATATATACAGGTACATGTTGATGTACATTAATACATGCAAGTTATCATTAAAAAGTATACATGTATAACGTATAACGCTTAATATTCTACACTACCTAATTTATGTCGGGATGCCTACTCGACAAGCTCTGCTCTTTGGGGCTCCCCATCCACATTTTGTTTTAAATAGATCAATACCTGTATATTAATTATGTGGTAAAAAATGAAAAAAAAAAAAACAGACAACCTTTGTGACATTCTCGTAAAACTGTCGCCGTTAAATTTACTGCACGTGTGTAGAATCCAGCCGTACCGTTCGACGTACTTTTTAAACACCTGTGATTATTAATCAACATTCTTTCATGCACTTTCTCACCGTGAAGTTGTCCGTTTTATTTCGATGTCACTGTAATCAAATTTTCCACCGATACATAGCACTGTTGAAATGCTTCAATGGTGTTGTGAATATATTTTGCAGAATGTGGAAATTCGAAGAGCTTTAAAACAATAGCACACTAACGGTATACTGAGCTGCTTTGTAAAAAAGTTTGTTGGAGGGTTCCATGAAAACTCTATTCACTGTTGCAATAGTATAACGGAGGAAGGAGCACGTGCCTCCCTAGGCGCCTCTGCCCATCCATTTGAAAATATCGAAGTGTATACGATTAATAACGCACAAGCTGCTGTTCATTTGTCTCCATGGTGTCCCTTGAAGGATGCAGTGCCCTAGTCAAGGAAAATTCTCCGCTTGGCGGAGGCATACAGAAAGTACCCCCACAGATTCTTTCGAAAAGAGGGGTCTGTTTGGGCCAAGAAATGGTGGGATTGTGCCAGTATGGCCCGGGATCATCTCTGTAGATTCAGGGGCACCCATCTGGGGGCAAAGATTGAAAATTTGTCAGAAGAGCCAGAGGAACGTGAGAGATGTCATTTGAAAAAGGCCGCTGAGAAGACTTGGAAAAATTGACTTGGGGGGGTGAGTTTGTTTTTGGCGGATAATTAAAAAATTCATTGGTTAACGTACTAAAAATTGAAAATCAAANAAGGACTGTGCACTCCCCTCCTCCCGGCACGCACCCTTCCCAAATTTGACCCTACTTATCCTATCGCGTTACACCTATTAAGTGAGAAGTGAGGCCATGCCGAAACTATTTACATTACATTTTGTTGGGGAAAACGCACTGTGAAAGGTACTGATATCCTTTTCATAAGGCCAACCTATTTAAAATGCTCGCGCTAAAAGGTTTGTGACATTGGAGGGACAAGGCAGTAGTTTGCAAAAGCTTCGGGACTGGTTCGGACATTATTTTACAACTCAAATGGACAACGACTTAGACCTGATTTGTTGAATCTGCTCATTGTTTCAACCATTTCAACAGCGCAAGGAAATATCCCCAACTAGTCGCATTAGTTGGGTCAAACCATGCAGTCTGGAAAAATGAATTACAGTTAGACGGTGTTATGGTAAATTTCTTCCAAACTAATGGGAAAAAATGGATCTGTGGCTACAGATCCTTTGGATTGCACTGTCGGAGCACCCAAGAAAGAGAACCGATACAAAGTGATATTAACAACGAACCAGTTTTACAAACGTTTAATATTAAAGTGGTCTACCAAAGAGAATTTGCCGTGTGTTTCTTTGCTTTTTTTATATGCAGAAAAAAAGTCTGCTGAAATCAGTTATGAATATATTTAGGGTGTCTTTTTATTTAGCTGTTTTTTTAATCTCCATTCTTTGAAGGTACGGAATGTATTATTCTGCAGTTAATAGGTAGCAGCCACGCTATCTAACTCAGTCTCCATCGCAGTGAAATTAGGCGTCTACATTGCCATGCATGCTGTTACGTGTAATATAAACACATCTGACGTGACGTGAGATCCAACAAAATGAGGAGCACGCGTTGAAAAAAGCTCATTTCATCGACGAAATCAAACTTTGAGTTTTACGCTGCAACTACCTCCCAAACCTTTTCTTTTCGGACGGAAAAAAATTAATCATTAAAAAAAAAACGATCTGAACTGCAGTCTACCATGAAGAGTTTGGATCCTTTTCATCCGCTTGACCATTTGACTTCTTTCTTCATTTTGTCTGTTTTGTGTCCACGACACCACGCTGCGCGCTGTTTGTAATTCTTGTTGGTGTACCAGCACAATTTAGTTTTGTTTTGCAAACGCTGCACACGGTTGAATTGTGTGTAAGGTAGTAAAAGTCATTATGTTCATCTAGGCCTACTTGTAAAAGATTTGATGCGGAGGCATCTGATAAAAGATCGGTTGCAGGGCAAATTTTGCCATAAAGGAGAGCAAACCTGGGCCGGGGGGTACACTAGTCGGAGGACGGCTGCGACGGAACGGTAGCAAGGGGCAACTAAACGAGAATGGAATGAAAAGACTAAAATGATGAGTAATATGGACATTCTATCGGTTGGTGTTAACTGTGGACTACGGCCATTCAACCCTTTGATGCCAATGTCGGAGCATAACACGGACACAACCGACACAAAGTGATACCAAAAAGCGAACAAGTTATACACACATAATAATGACTGCCTATCAAAAAGAAATCGCCATTTCACACATTTTTCTTTGCAAAGTTTTGGTCTTTCCTTACCGTGAAATCTTCATAATGGGTTGGTTAAGGGAGAGTGTCAACATACCTGAGACAATAAATTTTCCACTGGGGAGAGAGTTCGTAATGATACGCCCACTCTACTTATCTCTAAATGTGCCTTCAAATATGCATTCCCCAGACTAGTTACACTGTTCTTAGATCACATGATTTGAGGCAACCCTTTGGCCAGCCACATCCAGCTCTAGAACGGTCTGGTGTCCTTGCTCCGCTGTCTCCAGTCATAAATAACATAGAGGTCCAGTCCACTAATTCAAGTCCCATTGAAAACAGTGTAAAATCAGCACTGTTCAGGGCCCAGTAGCATGCACGCCAACATCCCTGAGATTTCTGGAACACAAATTAAATTCTTGTCTGGTCACCTATCTTTCAATTTCTTTTAAATTTTTTTGTGGGTTTACCAATTACATTTTTAACTATTCCCACAAAAAAAAATCACCCCCAAAAAGTGATTTTTCCGAGGTCTGATTGCAGCCATTCTTCAAGAGGCAACCCTCAACTTTCTCGGGCACTTAGGACCATTTTTCAACCGTAATTTTTAGCCCTACTGCTCTCATATGAAAGCTCAAAGACCCAGGGAGTTGATCCCGGCCACGATTCACACAATTTCATCATTTTGGGGGCCAAACAATCTCCTTTTTCAAAAGATACTGTAGGGGCACTTTAAATGTTAATGAGCTGGCCAGAAATTCTCACTTGAATTAGTGGTCTGCACCCTAGAGGCGTTAAGAATCTCTTACTCAGCATTTTAATAGTCCAGAGAAGTCAAAGCTAAAATGCACTAAGAGGTTGAAGTTATTTGTGACCCGCTCTGTGAAAATGAGTCATAAGTCGCCAGAGCCACTTTTTGAGTTTTCATGTGTATTTGAAAGAGCAAATTGAGCTTTTTGTTTTAATGTATCACTCAGTTTGCCATCCTGATGAAAGTCGATACTCCATGGAGAAAAATGCTGTGGGTTCCTGTTGATTTGCACTACGCAAAATTCTTCTGAAGGACTTTTTACTCCAAAGCGGCTCTGATGAAAGTGAATACTCCATGATGAAAGATGCTTTGGGTTCCTATTGAATTACACTATGCAAAATTATTCTAAAGGACTTTTTACTCCACTTTGCTTTTCGAATTGAGAAAGAATTTTGTGCGAAAATCAGAATCAGTTGTCTTTGAATATAATTATGTAGGTGGTCGTTTTATTTTTTCTGTTTTACAATACCCTCTTTCTAAGGCAACGAAATTGAAACATCCTTCAGCGTATTCACGGGGTACTTGTCACGCGATCCAACTTGACATCACAAGTTGATGTAAGTTCATTTTGTCGAGGAACACAAACTTCGTGTTTCAGTATTTCCCAACTTTCTTTTCGAACAGAAAAAAGAAGTCGAGAATTTGAACAGCAAGCTACACCAAGCAGTTTCAATCTCTCGCTACGCTTTGTTAGTTTCGTGCCCGAAGCATTACGAGCCTCACAGTGTTACGTAGTTCTTGACTGTATATCGACCCAAATTGATAAGTTTTGTGCAGCAAAAGTCTCACATGGTTGAATCGGGCAAAGTAATTCTGTGTCAAAAATAAGAAGAAGAAGAATAGTTTGCTTATCTACCTGTAAAAGATTTGATGTGGAGGCACCTGATAAAAGATCGGATGCAGGAGAAATCTGCTCGTGAAAGAGAACGTTCCTGGGCCAGGGGGCATATTGGTCGGACGGCGGCTGCGAAGAAGCACAAGCAAAGACAACAGAACGAGCACGACAGCAATGATGAGGACCGTCGCTGATTCCATGGCCATGACCGCCGTTGATATAACAAGAAGCGGGACTCCGTGAATGCAGTTATCGAGGCTTGCAACTCTGACTGTTAAGTGCCACGTCTGATCCGACGGAGCGTTTTTGTCTCCAGCTTAGAGCTGATCCGGTGACCTGATGTGTTTCGAAAGTAACAGACTGCAGAACTTTTTCAGCCACGTGACTGGACCGCCTTGGCCACGGTGATCGCATATATTTCTACAGGCAGTGGTGCAAGCGCACGTGCGACGCTGCGTGCTTGACTAGTTTATCTTGAGTAAGTAGATTACCATCACAAAACTATCCACTCATTACCATCTAAACACGTGGCAGTCCAGCACGATTGTGACTTCGTACGACAAAGGGCCGTAGACCTTTTCACTGAGGAAATCATAATTATGCACGCATGCGCCCAAATGTCCTTGGCGTCAAGAAGTGTTAGCAGGCTTGCTACATATATAACCACGAAACCCCTTTGTAACCTATGATTGCCGCCGCAATTTGTCGATGGTAACCTGCATCCTTAAAACCTCGTGTACTGAGGTATAGGAAATTGAATATTCATGCCTTTGTTGGTGCTAGGTATGATCTCATGACAATATCAAATTTAATGCTTGCGCATTTGCTTGTATTACGTTGTGTGCCCTAAATCTGTATGTGCAGTCATAATTGCCCTTAATAAACTCTTTCTTCTGGAATTATTTTGGGAATAAATAGCTCAGTTGTTTACAAGATTTTGTGTTTTGTTTGAATCATATTTATTATGGCGTTTGTACAAAAGCGTATTTTATGAGATTTCACGATCGCTCCCTGTGATGAAATAGCGCATTTTGTTCCGAATGAACTAAGCTTTCCAGTAGTAATGAACATTTTGTTGGCCAGTCTTAGTCAAATTTGTATCAAGTCTTTGAACAATGATGTATTGGTAAAATGGAGGGAGGAGAATAAAATTACAAACTCTGCATGGATAATGGAACAGTGTATGGCAAAATTTAAAAGTTTATTTACGATGGCAAAAGTAGGTCTGATATCAGGAAGTTTTCTCTCTCTATTTCCTGGTCACATTGATAATTTGTATTTAATTGCCAGCACAAAACTACAAGTATTGCTAGGATATTACCGACCCCGCTTGTCCGGCGAAGATGCAGGCAGTAATTAGGCATTTTTGGAATGTTTTCTATTATTTGTCTGACTCAGCGGCGACCATAATTGAACACTTTGAAGTGTCTGAATTGCTGCTCCTTCTGTGTCCTTCCTCTATTGTTGTGCACCCGCAAATCTTGGAATTCTAGCGCCCCCTAATTTTACTCGTTCTCGGTCATTGCATTTCTCAGGGTCTCTTATTTAGCTCAGCTATGCATTATGGACATGTAGCAGAGACGCTAATTTTGTATGACTGGACAGATGCAAAACTTACCCTTTAATCCTAAAAGGTTTATTTTGGACCATCTCAGAGACGGGGGAGGATTCAATGATTTTATTGGGGATGAATTGCAACCCCGAATAAGAACTGGAACCCCGCTGCCCCATACCTGTTTAAAACCTAGCATGCCTATAAAGACACTAAAGTTTCACCATTCAATCACACATATGGTCTTGCTGTTACTGTCACTTTAAGTTCAAGGCCACAGACGTGCTGGGCCAGCGTGCACTGTGTACTGCAGTGGAAATACACATTCTCCATTGCAGTCTCGGAAAAATGAGCGCTGCGCGAGAACACAAGGGGTTAAACTTTTAAGTTCTTTGCTGATGGTTTCGTTGCAACTCCCCTTATTCTAGTCACGGCAACATCAAATTGATGTTTACACTCGGACGATGCGGGACATTACGGGATCAGACTCGGACCAGATCCTTCCGTCCCCATGACGGTGATCAAAAAAGATGGATCAGATCCGGATCCAGACCCCGATCCACCTCGTGCATCACCCTTCGATCATCATTGAGGGATCATATCCTTGTAACCCCTTTGTGGAATGTAGTTTGAGCGCATTGATGTTTCCAGGCTAAACATTTTCGTGTAGAACCCATAGATGTTAGTGTTCAGTTGCTTGACACCATTCACTAATACCCCATAAATAAGTTGGTAGCAAGGACGTTTAAGAAAAATTCTTACCCCCCTCAAGCAGTGGCACCCCCCTCATCTGCTGAAAAGAGCCATGTTGGTGGGGAGTGTCCATTTTGTCGGTGGCCATGCAACCGTAACGTGTGCATTTCACAATCGTTTGTGAACCAGCGACATGCAGTTCCCGCCATAAGAGCCTGCGTTGCTAGGAAAATTGCGCCCTCTCTAGGTCCATCTTGGGACTCATAGACGGCTCTCATAATTGCCTACTGTTCTATGGGTGGCCAAAGTTTGCAGAGACGTATATTAATCTTACCCCATAACTCATAATTAGGGTTATATTCTTATCAGGTATGTACATGCATTCATACTTTAAAATATTTTGATAACTGTGTGAGATTTCGTGAATTATTCTTTCTCTTTTTTGCTGAGGGTCAGCCGGCGCACTTGTACAGGTGGCTGTGGAGTAAAACGAACCGTCACCTATTGCTACTAAGTGGGTGCAGTGCGGTGTAAGCGTAACGGGTGTCGGCGTGCAAGGTGAAACTTTCAAAAGCGAAATCAGGACGCTGATAGACAAAATATCATGGATTATGAGCGCACAGTCGACTTAACGTCTTCTTAGTGTCGTCACTGATTAGTTTTGTACATAAAAGAGATACAAAAAGGGACTGCAACCGGCAAGCGAAAATTCTGACTACGCGCCAACTGTGAATACGCTTTGTCCATCTGTTCGTTGGCTTAATTAAACAGTCGGCGTAATCAACGTTGTGCAAAAGCCTGGATATTGATGCCACTCTGTATGATAACACGTCACAATGCCGGAAAAGTTTGTGCCTATTTCGTTGCATGAAAGTGACTGAGATTTATCCTCCCTCAAGATTATAGAACTGTTACAGTGTTTGGGTTAAAAACAAAGCAAGAGTCGATGGTTAAAAATAATGAAATAAAAAGCCTTGTAAGTATATATAGGAGCCACTTGTCTGACGCTCTGCTAGAGGGCCCGCAGTGCCTCCATTATGCTTCAAATTCCAGCCACAGATAACACCACGCTCCTCATTCATAGATGATATTTTCAACCCATTCCGTCTGAGCATCATTGCATTCCTCATCTCTACGGCTAGCAGTTTCAGACCTGCTCGACTCGCCACCAAAGGAAGGATAGTTTTCATAGACCGCAGCGCCCTCTGTTCCCGTCGATGTCGGTGGGCGAGCAATAGCGCCCTCTTCAGCTGCGGTCGACGAGCCCTCAACGTGAGCGGCGTCGTCTGGGTTAGAGGAAGCCGGGGAGGTATTCTCTCTGCGACTTCCCTTGCGTAGGGGCTTGGCGTAAACAGGCGGTTTGGTTGCTGGGATGATGTCCATATTTGAGTAGGTGGGATTGTTGGCCAACACCATGCCGTTAGGCAGTCGACTGCGAATGCTCATTACTCGCTGAGGCTGATCCGTTCTTTTCTGCTTTCTTCTGTTGAAAATGTGGAGGGAAAGCCAAACAGGGCCATTAAACGATGCTAGAGATGCAAATTCCTCTTAATTAAGCATTAGGGTTACGATTATGAAAGCTGTTTTCTTTTCATAACGGAGGTAAAAGAGACCGCGATTTATGAAACGATAAGTCCGAACGAAAACGGCGCATATTCCACCGTATGAAACCTCTGGCTGGGCTTTCTTGATCAATGTTTGAGAGAGTGCGGTTCGATACTGAAATTGTTCCCAACTAAAAACTGATAATGTCTGTACACTGCTCCAGGTCACTCATTAATCTGATTTCTACCGCAAGACCCATTAAAATAAATCAAAGAAAGAAATGGGCATATTAAACAAACTATACCCACACACCAGTTTTTTCTTTCAATTTTTCCCCGATGGAAAATGTTAATCCAGAGAAATACCTTATCGGGGCACTTCACAAACCCCAAACATTCTACGGTACTATTCGAAAATGTGAGTGACAACTTTATTTCGAAAAAAAAATTACCTTTTCCGTCGGAGCAAAAACAGCACTACAGCTGCCAAGACGAGTATGGCGAATATCACCGCCACGGCTATTCCTGCTCCACCTCCTAACGACATCAACATAGATTATAGATAAGGTGTAAGACTTAAATACCACTGGTATCCCTAGCAGAAGTCAATAATTGACTCGATTTCTTTAATCATTTGGCAGAGTAACTGTTGTACCTGGCAACAAAAGTCCCCAACCAACGACCGACATACCGACTAACTACAATCAGACAAAAACGAATGGTTACAGTTTCCTCCACGCATGGAAAGACCTGACTCCCGCACCTTTTGATGGAACTTACTTGTTCGAAATTAAAATGAACACCTGCCCCATCCCTTCCCTGTAAAACTGCTAATGTTTTAACTTCTTTTCTTCACGACATTTAGTTAAACTGAGTTAGCCATGTCTAATGTAGCTCAAACGATGCCAGTTTGGATTGACAGGGGCAAAATGGGGGCCTTTTCAGATTAAAAATGAGTAGAACTGATAAGTCTAAAAAGAATTTGCGGACGGGGGAGAGTTGATAATACCGATTGTGCTTTATCAACTTTTACAATAATCAAACGAGACAAAATGTTAATTGACCGCATTCGAGGGGTACCCAATTTCAGTCGTATTCCTGAGCGTATTGTGAAACATTTGAAACCCTTAATGGATGGTAACAGGAGATTTGGGGGGGGGTCGGAATGAAATCGTATCTGGTTCCTTAAATTAACGTTTTCAAATGAATACACTGCGTAGGGGAATTTGACTAAAATTGGGTCCCCGCGAATACGGTCTATTTTGCAAAATGTTCTCGAGCGAGAGAGAGAAAAAAGACCGTGCAGAACCATTTGCCCTCCCCCCTTCCCCGCGCTGAATACCACACTGAGCAAGATGGATTCAGAAAGGTTCTTAAATTTCAAACCTTGACTGAGATCACTATTCATTATCTGCTGTCTAGTGGAGAGCGAAACGGAGGCCTCATCAACGGTTGGGATTACATCAGTTGGTGTTGTATCAGCTACAAAAATGTTTGTGATTCGAGGAATAGATTATTTACATCACACGTATAATTTTCTTATGATAATTCGTGTCTTAAGGGTATGATCTGCCACGTGCTACAAGGTTTAATTTATGTGAACCCCCCCCGCTCGGGCCCTGCACCCTGGCTGAGTGACGCTTTGAGACAGTACCAACATGGGGCTAGATATAGCTAACTTGGTAAATCACTTGTGGAAGTGTGGTACAGGAATCACGGGTCTCCCCATTGTGACTGAATAATGTTTGGCTTTAATAGGGTCTACTCTTTTGACGTCACGGTCGTGGTTTCCAATCAAGCGCATGCTAAAATATGGTTGGCCGTCGATACCTAAGTGAAAGATTGATTCACAGAGTGTTAAAAATCCCACTTAGCTATCAGAAAACTAGTATACGTACTATGAAACACTAAACACCAAAAGGTGATATTTCGGCAAACTTTGGCCGCCCATACAAGTTGTAGGCAAAACGAGAGTGGTATGGAAAAGACTTAACCGCAACCAACTAGCAACTCCAGCCCCACCTCTCTCTTTGTCATCGCTGAGGGGGTACATCGGTGTAAAGAGCCTACTCTTGCACGTTTTATCTTAAAAAAAGTCGATTGCCATCTTACCGGAACACGAAGGAACGGAGCCATTCCATGCGGCACCATCGCTCGCAGAGCTTCCTAGCGAGCACTGAATAACGGTGGATGCAGCGTCACGGTCAAATCTGAAGCCGGCGGCGCAGGTGAACTTGACGATGGTGCCGAAGTAGAAAGGCAGCAAGTCTGTTGCCTGTTGCACGTCGCGCTCCCCGTGAAGGGGCGTGCCTGGGTCGTCACATAGGCCCAAGTTAACTGTCAGTTGCATAACATTTTACAGAGAGAAATTTTCATCAGCCTTATTGATGGAAGGGCAAAAAAAGATGGAACTTTAGGAATGGGGGGTACCAGGTGAAGGTCATTTCTCTGTGTTACGAAGTGTAGCAGAGAAAATTTGTCTGCAGGTTGCAAGCTTAACGCTTGAGCAAGCCTCATTAGAATGAGGTTAATTTGACTGGAATGTAACAGCAAGAAGATAAAAAAAAGACGTAGAAACCTTGGGTGCGGCCATTCTAGTCTGCGTCCTCCACTGTATGCGCCATAGGTTGGTTTATTCGGTGACCACTTCATTGATATATAATCTAATGGATTTGCTATGCCATGAGGTTTTCCAGAGCCTTTAGCCCATAGAGTTTTATCTTTTTTCCCCTGGGCAGGAAATTCGCAACCTTTACAGTATCTACATATGAAACCAGGATAGTTTCAATTTATTTGCATAATATTATACAATGACCGGCAGAGAAATTCCACAGATTAAGACCTGTTATATTTGAACTGCATATCAAAACTTTGGTTTTGATATATAACAGTAATGCGTTGGAAAATAAACCAGCCGACGCTTGCCAGGCGGACAGGCTACATACAATTTACAATGTTTGCATGGGTACCAGAGTTATGTTGTGTATTTGAGGTAAGCGCAAAGGGGTGCGCATAGAACAGACTATTTTATCCAGCGGAATTTACTGTAACAATCACGTGAAGATTGTACTTGCGAGGTTTCTCGAGAACTCGTAACATTGTTATCACTGTACGCCACGTCATGGTCATGTGACTTAAGTGCGCAACTATGGTAAAGTGAAACTGTATACCATGAAATGGGACGGAGGGATGCCCCCCTGGCCTGTCCAATCCCTATACACACTCTAGCCTATTGTTACTTAACGCATTCCCCCTAGATGTCTGAAAAAAATTCCCGAAATACCAGTGTAACAATGACCATGCAGCGCAAAGGCGGGGGGGAGGTGCTGTGTCCCATAGTTTGCTTCATACGTGAAACTGAGTGGACCTGGAAACTGGAGAAGACAACAAAAAACCCTTAAACAAACAACAAAACAGAAACAGTGTGAAATGAATCATTTACCTTCATACAGTGAGATTCTTACAGGATTTCCTTCACCGCACGTTTGATTGGTGTTTCCGCTGCATGGAGTTTTGCACCTGGAGTCGGTGCTGCGAGGGTGGTGCAGAGCACTCATATTACCGCAGCGGCAATGGGTACCGCTTTCGACTCCAGCGTAGTGGTACCAGCGATTCCTGCAGTACCCCAAACACCTTTCCACCGAGAGGTCATCTTTAAACTTTCTTCTACTCCCACTAAGGACGTATCCACTTCCCCCCTCGCTGTAACAGCCCACATAACCTGGAGCTGAGGGAAATGTTCCAAGTTACAACAACTGGAGTACAATGTTCGTTGTTTTGTGGACTTTGAAGAAAATCCCGCAAGCTTTTGAATACAATGTGACCAGCTTAAAAGTCGGTGTGTGCGTTAACGAAGACCAATTTCAATGATATAAGCCACTAATCACAGAATCTACGAATTTCGGAGCAAACACAAAGAAACAAGGGAAAAGACAAACAAACAAATGGGTTACTGGGGTAAACATTATGTAAATGTATATAATTGATGCCTGAATGGTGCTGCTACTAAGTCGATTTGAGCTCAGTAAACCATTACGGTAGCGGCTCAATCGAAACGGGTCATGGAATTATGTTTGCCTTCCAGCCTCCGCGGACGGATAATGAGGGCGCAGTCTGTGGAAATAATAAGTGTAAGGTTCTGCCGGAATACAGATGTACATCTGTATCATGAACATTGCCTCCTAAATAGAGTCAAATTGTGTCAACACCCCGCCCCGCTTTTCAAATTTCCATGTCTTGGCAAGTCATCCCCCCAGAATTCCCCGTCCCCAATTTCCGACACAAATTTGTGGCACTTCAGGTGTATAATGGGGAAAACGTTCGACCATAGAGCTAGGAACACAAGGTCCAACATTGTACCTGTACATACAACTCCCGCAGCTCCAGACTTGCACGGGGTAGCGGAGAATTCATCTCTGTATGAGCAAGACGAGAGGTTGGATTCTCCTAGCGAAAAACAAAACCCTTACTGAGCTTTAGCCCATTTCGTGAACCATGTTCGTTGGCAGCATGTTTAGACACTCTTCGATAGGGTTCATTTTGTTTGCTTTGTTATAATTTTGTCCACATGGGCTATTTCGCATTCTCTTGTGACTATAGTGGAAAAAGTCTGTAAAACTTGCTAGCAACACTTCACTCGGAGAACCTATTGTCGATTTTTGATCTTACGCTTTGGACAATGGCAGTGAGTATTGAGTATACTTAAGTGAACATGCATTATTGGTGAAAACTTGTCACAGGTTACAGACATCTAACTCGACAGGTGTCCAGTACCAGCATATCAGCCCAATACCTTTATTACAGTCGAAAGCTCCGACAGTAAGGTTCCTTTCTGCCACATTGAAATACGAATTATGTTTTACAAAAGCAGCACCGGGAAAGCCAAGTTCTTGGCAGGTAGCTTGAACGTCGCGGAAATGCCAGTCAGCGTCACAGACCGTGGCCCACTGCGACGAGTAGGCGTGCCAAAGCTCGACTTGACCGGCATTCGGAATCTTGTCTCCCCCACCAACGAGTCGAACCTCTGCAGAGAAAGTGCAGGGAATCAACACGCATAGGAGGGTTGGTCGTAAAAGAAGGGAAATTGGTTATTAAAACTAACTTCAAATTCTCAAAGTGAATATAGTGATGTTACCATCTTTTCGGAGATTATCATTCTTACTTGTTAAATCCAGCTGTACAATAGACTTTTTTTCTGTGCTGTCACAACCATGCTGGATCGCCATGTGTTATGATGGTAATGAGTTGATAGTGACGTGTGGTAATCTACCTATTCAAGACGAACTAGTCAAGCATGCAGCGTTCGCACGTGCGCTTGCTCGTGGTTGAAGCTGCCCGTAGGAATATATGCGATCACCGTGGCCAAGGCGTCCACACGTGGTGGTACTGTTTACATAATTAGCGCAATCCAGTCAAGTGGCTGAAAAAGGTCTAAAGGCTCTCAGTGGCGGCGCCCAGTCTCCCTGTGCTGAAAAAATATGGCGTGACGATTTAACATTTAATTCCAGGATTACATCCAGCAACATATGGGACGGAGGGGAACCCCCTTACATGCCTAATCCCTTTACACACCCTTAGGCTTGAGTATTGTTACGTAACACATCCCACTAGATGTTTGAAAAACTTCCTCAGATTCCTATCACACAATGACCAACACAAAGGTCCTTACAGTGCTCGCTCCGTCCTATGTCTAATTGCTTCGATTCTGTCCGGAATAGAGAGCGAGACCCTATCTCTATATCCAACAACAAAATGTACCGTGAACACAAACAGGCAGATGTCCGTAGAACAAATGCTATTTACGTGTAGCAACTAGCATGTACATACCTGCAGCGTTCACGTCAAGCAGCAAAAACGTGATCCTCAGAACCATGAAGGAACCCTGTGTCAGTCCAAAATGGATTACTCTTCTCTTTTCCATGGTAGGCCTACTCCCAAAATGTCAGAAGAAAGATGGCTGAACCATTCACAGATTTTCTTATAATGGGTTGTTTTGTTGTTTCGGCGTCAGTAAGGGATTTCCGAGTTCCCTCTGATAAAATATGATGACCTGGAAATATGGTGAGGATAGGAAGGAGACATTGCGAAACCAGTAGGCGAGCATGGCTGCGTCAAAATATGGGTGCGGCTAGCTATGAACTGTGACACACGCGTCCATACAGAAAATCCTTGGAGCCGCTCTGGCTGAGCTTCCATTCGTGCGTTATGATACCCGACATAAGCCACTTTCGAACGCATGCAGTCTGTGTATCGCAACCGCATCCGGAAATTGACCCGATACTTGAGGAAGGCAGTCTGCAAGTGTGGCATGCTATTCACTGTTATTTCCTTTACAGTGTCATGAACTCGTCTTTTCCTGTTGTTTATTGGTAAAGATGTACGGAAAAGAGAAAGTCATGTACATGACCTTCGTACATGGCTTTGCAATTATACCACATAACTGTAAGCACCGCGTGATTTCCTGACTTTATATTGACATTGCAACCACTTAAAATACCCGAGCAACACTGAAACATTTCTGTCTTCTGATTACGTGATAACCGTCAGCTGCATTTGGTACGATTCTGGGGTCCTTGAGCGGGCCCCTGACCCCACGCCGCTCAGGGCTTCGCGCTCGCATTTGTTCTAATCAGGGCTATCTCCCCCACTTTCAAAAGTAATTCGACGCATCACCATTAAACAACTAAATCATTATCACTGGAGGTTGAGAATATGAACATTGAAGATATATACCCGTCATTCCACTCCATATAGGAGTTTGAGAAGTAATGCACATTTATAAGACTTTGTAGCATCAGGTTAATACCAAGTGAAGGCTTTTACAGACGAAAAATGGCAAAGATGTCAGCAAAGAAAGAGAAGTTTGGATCGACACCAAACAGATTAGATACTCTGATCTACCAAAGCATTAGTGTGCTTACAAAAATTGTAGGGCAGCGGCTGGAAGTCGAACTGTGCTGGGGAATAAGTTAGAGAAGAGATCCCCGCGGCTATGGCTAATTGGCGCAGATGCCAACACACGTGCGTCCCATCCAGGCCATGCACAAGTGCAGTTACTTGATTCTCCACGGTCATGATCAATAGTGGATCATAGAGCTGTGTTAAATTAACACCTACATGCAGGCCTATAGCTTTACTATCGGGATATAGCTTTAAGTCGAAATACTAGCGTCAGTGTTAAATCCATATTTGATTCATTCAGGATGAATGAGCATGCACGAGTGCATGTTAACCAGCATAATATTGTAACGCAATAGCAATTTGCCGAGTGTTAGGCCGTGTCCGAAACGGGCTTCCAGAGCCACGGGTAGGTCTATCGTCTACGCGTCTCCACGCATTTTTAATGGAGTGACGACCTACACCTAGCTCTAGACAAGAGATTCAAATGCAGGTGAATGCTACCGTAGTTACGTAGGGGGGCAGGTCTGGTACCCATACGTCAGCCAGGGCTGACATGCCTAGCTAAACGTTGGCGCCGGACTAATCATGAGTAGTATATAATGAGCGTGTTGCGCGCCATGCGGGATCAGTTCCTTCTCAGTTCTCACCGAGTGTGGTCTGAGCCCAGGACAAGTGCACCGCTGTCCACAGTCAGTTTTGAGGTGTACATACTGTGTTTTGAGGGAAGGATTCTGTCCACGAGGCAAACACCATCGGGTGGTGAGTGGACGTAAAACTTCTAGTTAGTCGAATTTGCCAGTGGAGTCTAGCTTATGTTTACCTCAAAACTGACTGTGGAGAGCGGTGCACTTGTCCTGGACTCAGACCACACTCGGTGAGAACTGAGAAGGAACTGAGTAGGAACTGAACCCTCCGACACGCAGCACGATCATTATGTACTACTCGTGATTTAGTCTGGCGCCAACGTTTAGCGCGGCATGTCAGTCACGAGTTAGACGATGAGCGTTCAATTTATACAGATGTGCGCGGAAATGTGCGCCTTCTACGTCTCTCAACATTCTGGCGTACATGAAATTGCCAAGAGAAATACTCAGATTCAGAAATGCGTGAGCCTCAACGAATGTGGTACGCTTCATGAAATGAATTTGCCTGTCAGGGTACGTCACGTGAAAACCCCTGCAGAGTGCACCACTACAAATAAATTCCCATAGATAGGCAGTGATACATCCCCATACTTCAAAAATATTTTTAAAATACAACTTTCACAGGTGTTCAGGCTGCACAGAAAAATGATGTTCCACGTGTCCTCTTTAATTTTCCTTTCAATTTTTAGTGGGTTGACCAATGACTTTTTGAGAAATTCTCACCCAAAGCAGACCACCCCTAAAACGAAGGAAATTTCACTACCCGGGAAAGTGGCCATTTCGAAAATGCATACCTCTGCAAAATGGCTCAAATAGTGCCACTTTCGGACCCGATTGCATCCAAATTGCTCAGAATTGGAAGCCTTGAGTCCGGCCCAGAGGTTCAGTCTCGTATTTCTTCAATTCCTCAGTTCCATGGCTCTCAGGACCCTCTAATACAGAATATTTTGAGTGTATAACTTTTATTAATGAGCTCGGCGGACATATTTCTTGCCTTTTTGCAAGGGTGCACCCTGCAGAGTTTATGCACGGCAGCCATCTTCCCGGTCAGTGCTTTTGTTAGGGAGATATGCACAAATGGTCTACTCGTGTGTATCCCTACAGAGCAAACACTGACCGAGAAGATGGCTCCCATGCATCACCTCTATAAGCTTGGCTGCCTCAAAAGTAATGCCTGTGGCTTGCAGTGTACAGAAGTCTATGTACATACAGACACAATACCATCTGAAGTCAGCTCTAGCCATTGTCACTATTTCTGGATGAAGCCAAATCTCAACCCATTTCAACCAATCAAAACACAAATGATGAAATGAAAAGGAACTTTCCGTTTTCAAACTATTATTTATTTTTTCTGGTGTCTCAGACATGATACACTATTTGTTACGCATAAACAATGCTTTCTACTGCAGCGTTCCATACGCCCACGGCAAATGTTAAAGAGGGATAAGACTTTAAAGGGGGGACTCACTGTTGTGAAAAATTAAAGCAAGCTAACTTTTAAACTTAAGGTATGGGGCAGCAAAGTTCGGGGGGAGGGGGCATCTGCCGCCAGCTGTGAGATTGTCCAAACTAACCAGGCTTCTTTTAGGTTAAGAGACAGTAACTGAAACCCAAATAATGTATGCATGAGCCCCTTTCGTTGTGGCTCTGTTAAATCATAAAAGTGCATGGCAGTTGATGCTACCCAAGAAGTCGTGAGACCAGTGCCTATCTCATTAACGCATCAAGTCGAGTCTGTACGAAGATGACGCTCGGTCCTAGTCCCTGGCCTATCTTTAATGCATCAAGTTGAGTTTGTGTGAGGACGACGCTCGGCCCTGGTCCCAGTCTTGAGACCAGTGCCTGTCTTTAATGCATCAAGTAAAGTCTATGCGAGGACGACGCTTGGTCCTGGTCCCGAGACCAGTGCCTGTCTTTAATGCATCAAGTTGAGTCTGTATGAGGACGACGCTCGGTCCTGGTCCCAGTCTCGAGACCAGTGCCTGTCTTTAATGCATCAAGTAGATTCCATGTGAGGACCATGCTCGGTCCGGGTCCAGACCTGTGCCTGTCTTTAATGTATCAAGTTGAGTCTGTGTGAGGGACGACACTCAGTCCTGGTCCCAGTCTTGAGACCAGTTCCTGTATTTAATGCATCAAGTCGAGTCTGTGCGTGGATGACACTCGGTCCTGGTCCCGGTCATGCCGTTTCTTATGCCGGTGCTTGTCCTTTTTCTTCTTCTTCTTGTGCGACTTGCTGGAGCTGCTGGACGCAGAGTGCTCACGGGCTACGTCGCCACCGCGGTTGAGCTTGGGGATGCGATATTTTGAGTCCACCGGTTTGGCCAAGCCTAAAAAAAAATTGAGTATTTGAAAAAAACAAGGAATAGGAGTCTAGGACTGTTTTCTACACACGGCAGAACTTTTTAGGTGAGTAAGCATGCAGATAGAATGAGCCAAACTTGACCAGTTTTAAACGGATGTGAAATGGTATTCAATGGACACTAATTTTGGGGCTGGCATCTTTGGTACTCTACTGTACCTTATACAAACGGAGGACTTTAGAGACAGTTGGTGGCGACAAACATACTGGTCCTATGTGACTGGTATACTTTTTACGCCTCATTTGTGAGCATGTCCACATTAGGTCTAACCTAAGGTCTTAGGTCTAACAGAGATTGGGCGTGTAAGGGGAGTACCCCTCCGTCCCATATCTTGCTGGGTATAACACCATAATTTTTGGCAAGTCAGATACTGAATTTAGACAGACATTGGTTTACCTCCCTTATGAGAATCAATGCTCACTCTCACCTGGTACTCCAACTAGCTCTTCTTTGGGTCTGACACTGGGTGTCGTGTGGGTACCGGGCTCCAACTTGACTGGTCTTGAGACCGGTGACGGGTGTCCTGTCTTCTCGGTGGAAGGCGAGGTATCTTCATCGGAAGACGACTCTGAAGAGATTGTGCTCCCCTGAGTCTCAAGATTGGGTTTCTGTTTGACCGGGCACAAATACAAAAGTGAATATTTCTCATTGTTAGGGCAATTCAAACATGCCTAACTTATCCTTTGATGTAAGGACCGGAGCACCTCTGCGCTATTTACATGGGATCAGGGCAGCATTCTGTCAACATACAAGAACCTTGGTAATATTTACAATCTTTCTGCATACCCCAGTGTAAAACAGTTTTAAAAAACGGCAAACAGCAGTTCACAAGGAAGCCATTTTTTATCTGGTTCCCTGATTCCGTTTTATAAGTTGCAGACTGTTGATATAGATGTACAAGACTATTTTACGCTTGGTGTGTATTCCAAGCCTCCCTTTCAACTTTTTTCTGCTCTCAATCAATTTCTAAAAATGACAACCTCGCTCTCAACTTCAATATGGCCGACCAGTGAATAAAGTCTATAGACAATAAGACCCAGTTACTATATAGGCAATTAAGCACATGGCCTTCTAGCATGTCCCACTGCATGTTGCAGGCCCTGGGAGCCATGCGCACAGGCTTGCATGTGGGACCTAGCTGACCTCTGTAACAAACCATGCCCCAGGGCCCGGGCTCAACAGATCCACCTACTATGATTGACTGGTACACACCGGCAGGACTTGGCCTATTTTCTTCTTGGCAGGTGGGCCCTCCTTGTCTTCCTCATCGCTCTTAGGCTCCGTGCGTTGCCGTGACGATGACAAGGATGATGGAAGCGGGGAGATGCTCTTTCGTTTCCGCTCCTGACTGCTCTCTCCGCTGGACTGCGGACTGTCGTCTTTACCTTCCTGACTATCCTCCTTCAAACATGAAGGAGTTTCACAAAAGCGGGAAAAAAACATGACCATCATGCCTTTTTCCCTGAAAATTTTAGGCACAACTGATTACTCACTGAAGTTCTTGGTAATTATTTTAGGGGGAGGAGGGGCTTCCAGTTTTAGAAAATTGGGGGTGGGTGGTAGTTAGTGCATGGGGGCCACAATACGTTATGCCAAACATGCATCCAGACTGTGAAAAAAAATACTCGCCACCGCAAGGAATACTGGCATTTCATCAAGCAGGCAACAGGCAATTTGAGAAAAATAATTGAGGAAATTTTTTAACTGCACAAGGTTTTTGCTTTTTGCTGTTTTTAAAATTTGTTATGGCAACCATGAGAAGTAAAGAATAAGGAAAGGTAAGAAAAGCTGACCAACTGTTTTATACATGGCGAAATTAAATATTCACTAAATGAGAAGTTATTTAGTGCTGTACTGTACTCAGCGCAGACTGCTAATGATATCAGTTTATATATTACGTACATTGAATGTTGGCAAAATGTTGGCGCTTTGTCATGTGATTTAATAGGCAGGTGATTTTACCATGTGACTTGACAGGTGATAAGGTAAAAAATGTGCCTGAACAAGCATAGGCCTGTGATGGGCTGATCACTTTGGGAAGTTACGTGTATCGCGGATGGTCCCACTTGGGGGTTGACATTCATAATGCTGCTGTATCATGTGACTGCATCATGTGACGGCCTTGTGCCGGGCACATGACCGTTTCACGTGATGCCAACTTACCACGGACTGTGAATCGCTTCCCATCGACTCATCCTCGGGGATAATTATGGATGGGTTGAGCATGGTTCGTTTCTCCTTTAAATTAAGAACCAAGCCTAGCTGCATGCGGCAAACAGAAACAAATGAAAAACAAAAATACAAGAACGAAAATGCTGGGTGCAGTTTACACATTCGTTGATGGTCTGCTAGGCAAGGTTGGCATGGAATGAATAATGGGTTGTAGAGGTAGGTATGGGCAAGAGCAGCTTCCAAGCATTCATGTCCTTTTGTGAGTTCTCAAGTATTCTGATAACAAAAACAGTAACAGCAAGAATCGAACAGGGATTTTGTTCCAACTGATTAACACTTTCGGCTCCACGATGCCAGCTTCTTTGACTAGAGACCATCGTGAGCAATGCAGCTTTTAATCTTTTTGCCATGGCAACCTTGGCATATTTTGTCAGAAGTCTACCCACGGTCAAAAGTACTCATCAGATTATTGCCTTCTTGTTAATCACGCTCGCCTCATGATGGTCTAGTACAATTCCCAGACCGAGAATAGGACTTGATACAACAGAGGGCAGGAGACCGGCCAGTGCATGTAATTGAAATAAAGTTGAAAAACTGGAGCAGACGTAAGCAGGGTGTGGGTAAATTCAGCACATGGTGAGAGCGGATGAAGAGACAAGGACAACTGAATCGGGGAAACTTTAAAGGAGTAAATGCATTGGTGATCTCAGTCCACAATGTGCAATGATGGCATGACAAATATACGATCAAATTTAAAAGCCAGCGGAAGCTACTTTAAGAATGTAACACTAATTGAGGTGTTTTTTCGACAGTACATCATGCAAACTCATGCAAGCAATTGGACAGTTTGTGATTCCAACACAGAAAGGGCATCCTTTTTCAGGTGCATTAAGTGAATTCTAAATCCTCAAAACCATTATCAAGGTGCCATTCTACAAACACACAAAAGAAACCTGGATTATAAACCCCAAGTACTGCACATCTGCCAGGGTCAAACTCTGTAGTTACTTTGCAAGGGGCTCGGATGGCACGGTGTGCTATTGAATAATGAACACCATGCACAAGTGTCCTTTCAACAGCAACAAAGGGAAAGTTTGTCAGACTCTTGACACCAACACCAAGAAACCAGTGGACTGGAATCAAAATATGGGCCTTATGACAACAAATTTTGCCTGGGCTAAGTAATTGATTTGCAAAAGTGAGGGGACAGGACCCCTTCCCAAACCCAGCAGGTAAGGTAGGCTGAGATGGGTGATACTTTAAAGCATGCATGCAAACTACTCATGCAAACGTCGGAAACCAACCTCGGGTATGGGCAGGCACGACGGACGACTCCGACCGTACAGGGTATAGTAGAAGTCTACCGCATCGCACCGCAGTCTGGCATCATGTGAGGTACCGCAGCTAGCCAGACAATAAAACAGTGGTCACAGAAACAGAGTAACTTGCTGCAATCTACGGCTTGTCTTTGCCACTCGTATTCCACGGTGACTAGCAGTAGCCCTAGCCAATAATACCCACTCCAGACAAAGCACACGAATCATTGAAGTCACGATAACAAAGCAGGTGCTACACTTGACACAACAGACCTAGAACATAATGACGCCAGCCTTTCTTTACACGTCGTTTACGACCCACCAAACCTCAACAGGAAAGTGTACAAGTAAGCAAAGCGTGACATCATTATGTTACAGGTCTACTGGACTGGCTTATGCACTGGAAAATTTTAAATGACACAAGAACAGGTCTTAGCGATTAAGTCTGCGATGCACTCTCAGACAGGTACCACTTGGACAACTGTCCTCATATACGAGCAAGACCAATTTAAAAATTGCACTTGATAGTTTAACTACGTCTGATCAAAGGCATGCTAGCTAAAAATGATTGGACCATTCCATTTAACGACATGTATGTGAAACCAGCCTACAGACACAGGGTCCCACTGCTAATTATCAATTTCCAAGAACATCAAATGTACTGCCGGGAACCCGGATCAACTTAGGGAAAATTCAAGTAACTACTACAGTTAACTATAGTTCAACTAACATCACCCAAAAATGAATGGTTTGCCCTATCTAATCGACCATTTGGGACTAGGCTCCAGGGCATAACTGCACCACATGGTTATCAACAGCCAATTCCATTTCTTAGGAGGGAACCATTCACTGGAAAAAAACTGTATGAGATTGTTATGACCATGTAAGCTGCGAGAATTGCAGCTTGCAGTGAAATGTGAGTAACGATTTAACGAGTTCGAGTGGAACTAAATTGCATGTGCGCAATGTTAAAAAGTAACAGACTACTGGTTGAGCTAAAGTTTGTGCCCGAAGTTGCCCACAAGTGGACCCCACGGTGATACGGCTACACAAGGATTGTATGATAAAGAAGTGAAGAAACAAAAATGGTGGAGTTACTTCATGAGGGTCCACAGCCTCTCCACTAGGCTCTCCTTGTTGAGTGCCGATGCCTCCCGGTGCCTGAAGGGCGGGTTGGCAATCAGCATCTGGAAGAGGTGATGTCGGACGGAGAGCATGGGGTCCTGCTCCACAATGTCCAGCAACCAGGAGAAGATGTCCGCGTTGGACTCCACTGAAGAAGAAAATCACGGGAAGACACGTACGCATGAGCTGAGCACAAATCTGACCGGATTCCTCAGAATGAGTCCTAAGGCCAGTAATTCTGTTTTAGTTTGCACAGGAAAGAGCAGAGTGAGTTCTTCGTTTTGATGTACCACTCATTTTGGCATCTTGATGAAAATGGATAATATATGGGTGTAGAACGTTGATGGTTCCCACTGATTTACACTTGTGCAAGATTCACGCACAGGCCTTTCACTCAAAAGTAGTTCTGGCGAACTCTGACTCTTTCTGCTAAGTTGAGACAAAAACGATAAATAAGCGCACAGCTATTTGCCATAGATGCCCAGATATCACTCCGACTTTGCTTTCAACTTGGATCCTACTCATGTAAATGCAAGTCGAACTTCTGAGCCAACTAACAACTCGAGTGAAAATTAAGGTTAAGTGAATTACCAGAGCGTACATATTCATTTGACATTTTGTTCGAAACAGTCAGATTCAATCAGGTAAACAAGGATCCCTTGTGCATTGTGTGGACCAGGACCAGCATTGGTACACCAGACGCATCAAGGAGGCCATCCACGTCCACCTCAACTGACACAGCATCAACAGGGACAGCGGCATCGACATTCCCGGGTTCTGGCTCCCCACCATCCGCCAACACAATCACCGCAGCACTGGAACACAACAGAGCCACACCGAGGACACGTCCCTTCACGCCCATGGAATGGAGCATGCGACACCCGCTGAGGTCATCCGTACTACGTCCGCAGTACAGGGGGCGGGGCTCGTGCAGGACGCGGTCCAGCAGTATACAACGGACTCTGCAGCATCCAGACTTCAGTTGCCAGATGAAGGCTAGCAGCACCAGCAGCCAAAACCTCGCTACCAGCAACACGACACCGCGAGTCATGGATCATCTTTTTCTCTACAAGGATCCGTTTGACAGGTGAGTGTGTAAGATGGCTAGGGATGAATATTCTTGATAATCTTGCAGAGAATACTCTCACTTGGACCAGGAACAGTCTCTTGCACCAGATGAGCCAAGCTTGGGATCACTTGACTGATTTCAAGGCAATATTTCAAGATGATGGAAAGAAGAACACTGTGAAATTCTTGATGTTAGAATCCCCATCGTTTCATGCTTCTCATGTTACTTTTGGCATCGTATGTTATTGTAAAGATGAAAGTTAAGGAAAATATAATCTCTACTAAAAAATAAGTTCCATTTTGAGAATCTCTCATAATTTGAATGGAATGCTTCAGATGTGTGCCCTCGGAATGCGGCACTCAAGCCACCTTCAAAATCTGACATTTTGGATTTGAAACACCAATGGCAGTAAGTAACAAGTTGCATACGACACTATGACCATTGGAACCATAATTTTCCCTGCCCACCTTTGACGTAATCCACCAGCGACTCCAACGCGGCCATCCTGATCTCCACAAAGTGGCTGTACTGGGCGTAAGTCTGGAAGAGGGTGGGGTCGCTGGGCAGGTGGCCGTTCTTCTGCAAGGTGCGGATGGCCTGCAGGCAGCTGATGGTCACACGGTGGTGGTAGCAAGGGAGCAGCTTCTCCAGGTTTAAGCAACGGGTCACCTCCTCAAGCACAATCTTTTTTTTTTTAAAAAGGAATTGTGTAACAGTAAGATAATACTTGGCTTTAATCTAGTCCAAAAATTGGAGGTAACACAAAGGATATCTATTCCAAGCGCAGTTACAAGAGAAGGCATCACTTTCGCATATGGTCCCTTGGTGGGAACTCACCACAGGAGCCCACGGGTTTATGTGTGTATGGCCTGGATCGCACTGAGCTCACAAGACTGTTTTGTATTTGAACGTACGATTTGCTGTACGCATCAGAACTTCACACCAACCCGTCTCATTTTTGCAGGTGAGGCTGTACTTCAACTCGGGGCAGATAATCCTGTCTGAATATTGCCCAAGGAAAAGACGCCCTTACCTTCGTTTCTGGCGTCAGGTTTTCCACGCTGGTGCTCACCATGGCAACAGCTGGGGTGATGGTGTGGGTCAATGCAGTGATGAGTGACGCACGGTAGTAATTGTCAGAAAACTACAAATCAGAGCAAAAAATGTAAAAAGAAAATTTAAAAACATTAAGATACATTCTGGCTCTAGTCATCTATTTATGCACTGGTGATGGCTTCGATTTCAGGGCGAGAAGTTTGGGTTTTGTCCAAATCCCAGCTCTCCAAGGGGGTAACCGCTGAATCAGAAATTTCTGTCGGCTTCATAACTCCTTACATCAACTCAATAGTGGAAACGACGAAGAACAGCATTGCGGGAGGACCACTTGGCACCATGTACAACCCAACTAGGTACTTCAGATCTTCCGATGCCTCTTTGCTTGCTGTTCCTCATACTCACAACTCATGGGGTGACCGATCTTTCTCATATCCGGGTCCTCATCTTTGGAATGAACTACCTCTCAATATTTGTCCTAACTCTTCAGTCTCTGAGTTCAAAGTTGCCTTGCAAACTCACTTCTTTGTTCACCGCTATTGAATTTCTTATCAGTCTATGTTTTGGTTTTCCTGATTGTACTGCGCCATGATCGTCTCTCGAGGCAGAAACCGGCGTGTTATAAATATCCATTATTATTATTATTACTATTGTCACACCTCATACAGGTTGCAACGTGCAGGTTATATTTAGCATGGATGAGTTAAACCAACAAATTGTTTTCTCAAATGTACTTGCAGCAATATGAAACAACCATCCCTTCAATTCAAGCACAAAGGCCATGAGAATCCACTGTTTACATTAATGTACTTCAGTATCAGGTAAACTGCTCAATAAGATTCGGGCCAAAATTTGCAAATCGTTGACAAGTTCCTTTAATTGCAATGCTACTATGAAAAATTCTACGTTTCATTCATATGTTATTCAACAAACTTGCTACATCGAAATCTGTCAACGACTCATTCTGGTAACAGCAGCTCCGTGAAGATTTGAGGACCTCTATTCACCTTGTTCTTGGTGTTGTCGTTGTACTTGATGAGGTCGACCAGGAAATCCAGCGATTCCTTGGGGCACAGCGAGTGAGCATTGCGTATGGTAGCCAGGGCAACGGGCAGTGTCTGACAAAACAACAAAATCTAAACGACAAACTGAGCATGTGCATTGTGGGTTCCATGACAAGTCTAATTCCTATGCTGCTCCAAATGAGGAGTTTATTTTGGGGCAGAGCTAACACTAGTCAGCGCTGTTAAAACTACTGTGGCGTGATGTGCCTCCAGCAAAACTTTGCAGTAGGCACAAATAATGTCTTCCTCTGTGTGCAAGTTTATCTTTGGGCCGCCAAACAGAAAGAAATTTGGTAAGACTCTGGGGCAGAACACAAACTAAGAGTCTCGTTGTGAGCACCATGCCAACATACGTGTCCATGAGCAACAAATAATCTTGCAGCCAAGTTTTTTAGGTTTGTTTCATTCAGTACTTTATTCTTTCTCACCAAAGGCGCCTTTCCATCTGTACATCAACACTTGTGCCCAGCGTTGTGTATCTGTCAAAATTGCGGGGCGATTTTGATGGCTGAACGAAACACACATGTAATAATGGGGTCGATTTTTGTGTCCATGAAAGTAAAACACATGAATGCATTGTATACGCAATGCACCAATCAAAAGCTATGTGGTAGACAAATGGTGAAACCTCAGCCCCAGGTGGTGAAAAATTAGCGGCTTGGTTCGGCTGTCTAATATCAATAAAAACACTGTTAAACTGTGGTATAAATTTACATTGTAGGATTCTTAATAAGGGAAGAACGTGAATTGAAACAAGGGATAATTCAAGATTTTACCCTGAGGTGCCCCACAAAGCCCTCTTAAAACGTGTAAAATCTCAAGGCAAACCCTGACTGTACTCTTCTTGAATTTACATTCTCCCCTAATCTGCGGGGATGTAAGCAACCAACGAAGTCAACTCCTGAAAATCACTGAAAGCCAATAAATTGTGTGAGACTGCGAGGGAGGGCTTGCACGACCGAGAGACTAACGGCAAGGGTCCAGATGCCCTTAAGTTTTGGGGGTTTTAACAGATAAAAATGAACTGTTTGAGATACTTATTCCTTTCTCCATTTCTAGCTGGGACTTGAACATACTAATGTTCGGTTTGAGTCTCTGTCCTTCCTCCTACACCAGTGGTTTTCGGGGTTACCATGTCCAGTTATCGCCTTCTTCCCATTTGACAAATAGTTGATTACGTAGTTACAGATGATGCATTTGGCTTGGCTACCGTTACTTATTATTAAGCCTGCACACGTATTCCGACCCAAATATCCATCCTGGTCCTTTTCCTCGAGCCATGTCCACTTGAATTTATTCTTGATTCCCTTGTCAATTTCTTTAGCATCCGCTTTCCGGTCAACTTCCATGTTGATCAAAAATTTCTATCCAAACACGCGCTCACTTGTCACTGAAAACTTCGCACATGATCGTTCGCACAACACATGCATGGAAAATACGTCGCCATTGACATGACTGACACCCGATTAATCAGCGGTTCCCAGTGGTATCGCATTGGCAACTCCATTACCAGTGATGGGATCACAACGGGAACCATCAAACCAGGGAGATGTTGAAGGTTGCACCAACCTCATTCCTATGATGATGAACAGTACGCATCACCAGTACGCCCTCGGGATGATACAAGTGATAAGTGCATAAAGGCGTAGCCTGGGTACGCGCGTGTTGGTGAGTAACATAGGCCGTGCATGCGCTAATGCATGATCTGCCATGTTTGTGAAGATCGAAGCGCAAGCAGCCTGCGCATGCCGGTATGGATCATGTATGTATAATTCTACATTATTAAAGTGGGAACGAATGTTTCGCGATTTCCAAAAAATGGTAACTTTTCACGCTATTTCCGGAATCCAGAAATTTCTGGAAATCTTACATCCTGAATCTAGTGTCACAGGGCTTACTTTTTGCAGGAAGTAGTCCATGAAGTTGCCGAAGTTGTTCTGTCTGACGATGTCCGAGCAAGAGTAGGAACCAAAGAGCTTCTTGAACATTGCAATGATGGCGGTGTGGCCCATGTAGGATGCAACCAGCTCGTTAGATATCTACACGGAATCGGCAAAAATCCGCAGGAAAAGAACAAACTCCAACACTTCAAATTTCACAATCGGAGCTGCAAGCAACATACACCACCCAGCGTACCATCAACAACGAAGTTAAACAGGTTACCTCAATACCTGTACCCACTGCATTGTTTCATATGTCCCCGGTATACACCTTATTCATTGCCGCCATCTTGGTGGGCAATTTTTCCGGTTATTTTGATTCAGCAACAATAAATGCACAAAAGGTCTGACCCAAGCCTGGCGTAACAGCATGGCAGCAATGCCTTCATTCCAGTCATATTCATTTTCCGCAAGTACTTGCAACTCGTTGGGATATCTACAGATCTACCATGAGGAGAAATAGTCTGACTCACCTTGGCTAGGGAATGTGCTGCAAGCATCCGCACTTTGTAGAAGCACTGTCGGTTCTCGATGATCTCTGAGAGGACATTGACCGTTGCGGGACTGGGAAACCTCTCTAGGTTCTCAATAGCCTGACAACCAAAGAGAGAAATCATTAAAAAAAAAAAGGCAAAATCAGCAGAACTTGAGTCTTTGGAATAAGTTCACCATTCATGTCACAATTATCCTTTTTTAAAAAAAAATTTATTTAGAGCTTGTTTGCCAGCACATCAATTGCATTACTTTGAACGCATCTCTCCAGAGGTTATCTCCTTTCTGAGACCCTCTAAATACGCTCTTATTTTTGAAGATGTAGTAAGGATCACCACAAGAGCAGATACAAAGCTAGAGACTGGACCAGTGACAGGTTGGATTATGACAAAGGAATGTTCTTTTTGCAGCTCATTTGAAAAGCTTGTGACTTGAATTCCGACTGGACGTCTTGTGGAGTCTTCACTACAACACTGCCAATTTGTCTGAAATTCCCCAGTGTTCAGCATGTGAGCGCATGCCTTCCAATACTTTTCTAACTAAATGCTGCGCTGCATCAAACCTTGCCAACCCCAACTACCCTCAGGACAGCACTGCAGTGGGAGGGTTAACGTTACATTGTGCCAAATACCTATGTCATGCAATGGGGTGTAATCATCTACCTACCTCAATCTGCGCAACAATGTCTCTCTCGTAGCGCAGCTGGTAGTGCCACTGAAAGTCGGGCTGCTGGAAGACGACCTGACGCAGCAAGGTCATCTCGGTGTCGACACGGATCCACAAGACAGGTGAGTCAGCACTGACATCAACATAAGAAAGGAAGCAAGGAATGGATGAGTTAGTCAGTCTGAACTGAAGGCGCCAACACATTCAGCATAGCTTCAGAACTAACGCTTATGCAGGTATTTTAGGATCAGAGCACAGCCGTGTTGGAAATTGGTGGCTGCGGCTTGGAAATGACACACAAACCTATGTAAGCCACTAATTAGAGGCTGCAGTTACTTGTCAAAGATACACTGGTTACACTGAGCTGTACTCAGTTGACTTAGGCCAAGGCCAAGTCAGGGTTTCATATGATGTTGTTACCCCTGATCAGCATGCTCATACTACTTTCTGGACCCAGTTGAACGCGAAGGTAGGTACTCACTCCATTGTGCTGAGATCCATGTCCACTTCTTCACCATTCTTCAAGGGGATTTTCTTTTTCTTGTTCCTTACGTTGAAAACAATCAATTGTACAGCATTAATCTGGAGCTAAAGTTTGATGTTATCTAATTCATACATGGATATACAAAAAGCACAAATAAAGATATAGAAAGATTGGTAAGGTCTTCACATTTGGCAGGTAAATTGAGAAAACCAAGAGGTCTCTAGCACTATTTGAACCTGAATTTGATAACTTTAATTACCGTCGGCTTTTGGAGTGGCAGGTGATGTCTCCCTTAGTGACATTATCTTCCACCTGCAGCGTGTGCTCAAAAGATCCATCAAGTTCCTGGATGGTCACCTTTAAAGGTCCCTGAAATATCAATCAGTTGACTAGAGGCAATCAAATCACTTCAAATCAAATCTACTTTCACTTACTAAGTGAGGTCAACAATAAATGTCTCAGCTCCTCTAACGATTCAGGACGGATGAACAGTTGACCTACGACAACCACATCAAATCCACCTTGGAGTGAAGAGAATTAACACTGGATACCCTTGCACCTTT